TCACTCAATGTTCCTTCACTCCAGCCAATCCAATCTGTTCTTGCTGAATGAATGAGGGTGGAGGAGGCAGCACAAGGGTGGGGCAAACAGGTGGCAAGTCTTAGACTCAGGTCAGGCTGGAGAGGGGGTTAGGGATTGGTCACTTCTGCTCCCAGTCACCACTACTTCCAGGTCAGGAGAGGTGAAAGTGACCTACCTTCAGGAAGTCTTTCTTCTCCAAAGTGTTCATGATCACAGGGGGAATGGCTGAGGGGAGAGCGGGGCAGGGAGGGAAAGAGTAAGTAAAGCAGCAGAAGGGACCCTAAGAAAGGGGAGCCCCCTTCACAGTTCTTCCCACTACCACCAGGAATCCTCAAAACCCGGGAAGAACTACACCCCCTTTCTCCCAGAGCCTCCCGTGCCCCACCCAGCCACCTCTGCCTCACCCATGGCAGGAATCGCCATGCCGATTCTCGATATCACCACCTGGAATATTCCCTGTTTGGCTGCAGTCGCTGACTGGCCAAGCTTCTGGCCTGCCTCATCAGTCACTGGGATGCCCACCTGCAGCTCCCTGAGGAGGGAAGGGGTGAGGGTCAGATCACAGGCCCCAAGTCCCTCCCACAATGTCCTCATGGGCAGCTATTCCCAGGGCCCCCTCAGACATCCTAGATTGAAAGGCTGGTTCTCTCCTCCCAGATCTTGGGGTCAGACTGAGACGAGGCCCAGCAGCTCATGCCCAGGGAGAGGACAGTCCCCACTCAGGCTGGTGTGCACCGCTAGATGGTGTGCCCACACTCACGCTGGGCGTGCACAGGCCAGGCGTCGGCGCCACTCACCTCTGCCTCATCAGAGGGATGTTGATGCAATTTGCAGCTGCCACAGCTGCAAAGGGCACAAATCTGCCAATCAGGGGGGGCAGGTGCTGGGGGAGGAAAGATGACAGTTAGTGGCCCCAAGGGCCATGGGGTGGTGAGGAACTCTGGGAAGAGATACATGAAGCCTGTCAGGTGGTGTAGAAGGGTGATGGGGAAGGAGGTGGATAAAGGATGATTGGGGACCAGTGGAATGGGGGGTCATTTACCTTGGTGAGGGATTTGAGTCCCAGGGCCGTGGCCACAGCCCCGGTGGTGGCACTCACGTAAGCTGTTCCCAGCTGCCTGTGGGTGGAAGAGCCAGGACATAAGAGGGGAGGCGAACAGTCCAGCATGTGGTTTTTCCTTCAGGGACATGCCAAATCCTCAACCCATGAGGCGTGGGAAGGTGGCCTCATTGCAGAGAAATGCCTCCCGTGCTCCAGTGTCGCCCCAACCCCTGCCCTTGAAGAAGAGTGGCCCCCCCAAAGCATACACAGGAGGACCTCATGTCCTCAGGCCAGGAAAGTGGGAAGGAGGGCAGGCAGAGAAGAGGCCACGGAGACGCTGGCTGCACAGGCCCTTGATGAACAGGATCAAACAGGGGACAGCAACAGTGGGCGGGGAGAAGAGTCCCCAGGTACGGACGAGTTCTCACCCCATAGTGATGGGAGCATCGCCGCTGCGGTTGGAGTAGTTGACGATGGCATTGAAGGACTGATTCACCCACTGCCAGAACACCACGGTTGGGGTCTTCCTGAGGGAACAAAGACACTAATTTCTCTCTCCTCTATCGGGTCCCTCCTCCTTGGACCCTGATCATGAAACCCCAAAGGTTATTCCTAAATCTTCAGGAGGGAGCCAGTTGATGAGCCTAAATCCTGCTCTGGTGACCCCTCCCCA